TGGCTCGCAGATTTAGCAGACCCAGAGTAATCGACCTCAAAAATGCATTCCTTCTCCAGTTTTTTGTGCTTATTATTATGATGCCGACATTGCCGAGGATGGCGTGGCGCCATGTCTTCTTGGCACGCCTTGCATGCCTATGAACTGCAGAGGAACCAGGTCTCCTTGAAATCGAGGCTGCGCCATGCGGGGGAATAGGGGAAATACCCACATGTCTAGTTTCAGTTTCCGCGAAATGTTACTTTCGCTTTACAGTCCTTGCACGAGAAACAACCATGCCAATTTCACCAACTGATTTGCAGCGTGTTATGGCCATTTTGGCTGATGAAGACCAACTCAAAGCCACTGTAAAAAGCAGTGGTTATGGTGGTGTTATTGCAGGGATAACTACAACAGTCGGAGGCCTCATTGCGGGTCCACCTGGGCTTCTCGTCGGAGGAGCAGTCGGGGGAGCGCTGGCTTACTCGAGCGCGGGGTCTTTCAAGCCTGTTTCGCAGATTATCAAAGACATGAACGCTCACGACAGACAGCTGCTGTACGACACTATGAAAGATATCATTGACAATTTGGCAGTCGACGACTATTTAGCGTTGATGGCTTTTCTAACTGCCGGCCCTGGCTTGTTAATTCGACAACAACTTGTGGATAGAATGGTTTCGTTTTTGAGGGATCAGATGCGTCTTCAAATGCCTCATTGATTGCGTGTTGTTCTCCTCAAACGTTTGGAAGAACTGCTGCCTTTCGGTGATAAATGAGGTGACATTTATAATTATCGTTTTTTCCCGACGTCGCTCTGTCAACAACGAGCTATAATGGACCAGGAGACAATTTAAAACTTGGCATTGTAGTGAAATAATTCGTAGAACATTGTCGGGTTTTTTAGACAAACTACATATGCTATGAATAAATGTAATGGGGAAATTTCTTGTAACTTCATGAGGATGTGGTGAAGGGTTTTGTGAGCCAATCGGATCTTGTGTAACATCCTAGTTGGTAATAATCTATTAAGTTTTAGCTGCTTGAAAGAGAAATTACTGATCTTCATCTTATCTGTGGCTTTCTCTGAAGCCTATTGTATTGTGAAAGTTTTGTATTGTCATAAAATAGACATTAAATTTATTTATAGTAACTTAAGTGTGGTATATCCAGAACTCCCCAGGGGCTGGCATTGCCCCAACATATCTCTACATCCTGGGGGAGGGGGAGACTCCCCTATAAATAGGATGGGGGTACTTGTCGTATCTTTTAGGGGTTGAAAAAGTGGTTTCAGTACCTCTTCGGGTGTTTAGCCTCAAGAGGACCAGAGTGGGAGCCTTATGACAGGAAATAATGTGTAGTTTTAGAATTGGTACCTCTTAGGGTCGAAAAAAAATTCAAGCCAGGTCCATAAAGCAGGATCTTGGTATCTCTTAAGGGTTATTTTCAAAATTTCTAACAAGCACTCCCGTCCTTTTAATGTTGGAATCCCCTCCCTGGGCTATACTAACTACTTAATAACCGAGAGTGAGGTCGTTACGGGAAAATCTCAAACTGAGGCCTTGCCGTATTGACTGAGCGATAGCGAGGTCAATGCGGTAGGCCGAGGTTTGAGATTTTCCCGTAATGATTGAACGGTCG